CATTTCATAAGGCTAATTACCAAAAATTCCATTTTAAACGAAAAGCTGCTTAATGAAGGTTTGTTTTTTAAATGCAGACATTACGCAATCTATCCAAGTTCTCCCCCAACTCCAGCCCCACTGCCCTGCTCCAAATGCTCACTATTTACCCACACAACAGACAAATGTTCCACCCCCATAAAGTGTCTGAAATGCAGTGAAAATCATCCCACCTTGAAATGCACCTCTGAGCTGCCCCCTAAATGCTTGAGCTGTAATTCAACTGAGCACCAAGCTTGGTCCTTTCAATGCCCCAACCGTCCCACCAAACCTATTGAAGGTATACCTAATCTTCCGGTTAAATCTTTAAATAAAAAATCATCAATGGTAGACAACGCAAAAAAAGAAGCCCGAGTTCATTCCCACATCACCATTCATGACCACATTGTTAATACATTTCTTAGAAAGTTAAACAAATCAAGCGCCACACCTCGCGAAGACATTATCCATAAACTTAAACAAAGATTTGTCAAAGAATTTAACATCGAAACGACAATAAGCTTTGTAGGTAATAACTGGATTTACATCCTAATGTTTGATCTCGATATTGATGACCATAGCTCTCCCACTGAAGTAATCCCTGGAAAAAATAATGGACAAGCTCGAGCTCAACTGTAACCTTTTATACTCCAACATAAACAATTTCATGTCTAAAAAACACCTCACACTTCACACCACTTATTCGTGGAAACCAAAACCAAGGAGAGCGACAATACCAATTTTAGGAACTGGAACCTTCTTCGGCAAAACGGAAACACTCTTAATCGCAATACAAGAGGAGGATCCTTGGCTCTTATTCACCCTTCACTAAAAATGCGAAAACAAAACTCTCCTCGCATCAACAATCCTTGGAATAATTGCTTACATTTCTCAATTCCTTTTAAAGAAGACCACCTTCACATATTTCTTGTCTACATCCACCACTCATCTCTCATAGAACAGTCCATATTTATCATGGCTTCCACTAAAAAGTATGCTCTTATAATTGGAGACTTTAACCTAAGTAGTGCCAAAAGATGCAAACAACTCAAAGCCTTCCTAAATAGTTCCAACTTTTCCCAATTTGAGACCCCACCCACGTTTTTAATGGATAACAATAATGATTCCACCCCTGATATACTATTATACACTAAAAATTTAACAAACAACATCACTGGAATCGACTTGTTGCCCGACTTAGGTTCAGACCATTTATCAATGCTAATAAAAATGAATCTGGAGGCCCCCATCGTTACTGAAAACAACACAGTAAAACTAAACTTCAACAAAAGCAAAATTGAACACATTAACAGCGAACTTTTGAGACATACCAACCAAATGAACCACACTTCAATAAGCAACAACAGTATTAATACCTTCAACAACTGTCTTTCTAATTCAATTCAAAAATTTACGCCTACCTATTCTCAATCTTTTTTTCATCACAATCTTCCACCACATATTATTAACCTTATTAAAAACAAAAGAAAAATATACAGGCAGTATCAACTACACCCTGATCCTGCCCAGAAGAAACACATCAACGAATTGTCAAAGTCTATTAAGCAAGCTATTACAGTCTTCAAAAACAGCCAATGGATTGCAGCTTGCGAAACAATCAACAGCAAACGGGGAAAAAGTTTTTATTCTGAAATTAAAAAGTTAAGCAGATACAAAACACCATATCAAATACCAACAATCATTGATAATGACGAGGAACACAATACAGACCTTGATAAAGCTCGAATATTTGCGACACACTTAAATCACCAATATCAAGCTCAGGATAACCCACAATTTAACCAACAAAACTTTGACACAACAATACAGTGGTATAACTCCTACTTTGACTCCGAAAACGACTTTGACCCTCAAACAATTGACGAGGAAGATTATTTCAATATACTTTCCAATCAGAAAAATTCCACCCCTGGAGACGATAACATCCCTTGGACTATAATTAAGAAACTACATTACAACGTTCATTTATACATAATTAAACTTTTTGAAAGCTGTCTCAATAACCATTACTTTCCACCCATATGGAAAACAGGAAAAGTAATTATGATACCCAAACCCAACACTGATCACAGCAATGCAGATAACTATCGCCCAATTACCCTCCTACCGTGTTTGGGAAAACTCCTGGAAAAAATTATACTACTCAAAATCAATACCCAAGTCGCTGACAAGATCCCCAATTATCAATTTGGCTTCAGAAGCTCCAGATCCACTGCACATCCTCTTACCGCGGTCATATCCAATATACAAACTGCGAGGCTAAATAATCTTTCTTCTGCGGCTTTGTTCTTGGACATCAAAAGAGCATTTGACTCGGTTTGGCATAAAGGACTTATTTACAAACTTAAGAAGATCGGAATTGCTAATTCCCTCATCTACCTTATCAACAGCTATCTTGAAAACAGACCACTCTATGTTTGCATTAATGGGCAAAAATCTCCTACACTCATTGCGGAACAGGGAGTTCCCCAAGGCTCTCCGCTGTCGCCACTGCTATATAACATTTATTGTTATGACATGCAGCATGAACACAACCAAATTTTTTCACCAAGCGAAGCAAACTACATTTTACAATATGCAGATGACACGGCACTCTTTGTGCATCAAAAATCACCACAGCTTGCCCTTGAAAGGTTAAAAACGCTTTTCCTTACCATTAATAAATGGCTTAAGGATTGGAGACTCTGCATTAATGCTAACAAATCCAAATTTATTATTTTTCATCGAAACAACCTTAACAATCTTCAACTTACTATCAATAACCAAATACTTGAGCCAGTTCAATCAGTTAAATACCTTGGAGTACTGATTGACAACAAAATAAACCTGAAGGAACATGCCAACTCTTCCAAAAAGAAATGTATCTCCAGAGCCAGCCAGTTTAGATGTCTTACCTACAAGAATAATGGCATTAATCTCAAAACGGCAGCAATAATTTATAAATCCATCTGCCGTCCCATCCTTGAATATGCTCCCTCCCTGTTTTTAAATTCCCGAAAATCTACCTTAAAAATCCTGAATGTGGCTGAGACTTCTGCAATGAGAAAAATTACCAAAATGAGGCACCCAGGAAATCCACTCCATAACCCTCCCAACACCCTCCTTTATGAAAAATTTAAAATCAGCCCAATTTCTGCGAGATTAATAAAACTATCCACCAACTTTGCCCAGAGAGAAGCCGCTTACCAGTTTCTGGCACCAGTACTGATTCCAAGAGACCTAGAGAGAGCTCCCACCCGAATTAAACATCCTACAAGATCCCTGGTTGAGGAAATGCAAGCTCTAGCTGACGAATGAACACATATACATATATATATCTAATTTATTCTTTACATACACAATACGATGTACTTTTTTTTTTTTTTTTTTTTTGCACTCTATCTAATATCAATTTCGGTTTCTAACACATGCAAATACATTACATTTATATTTTAATTAACCTTGGCTGAAGGACCTAGGTCAATGGCCTTTTGATTGTTGTTATTTTTATAATTATGATGATCAATAAATAACTATTATTATTATTATTATTATTACTTAACATTGTGTTTTTTCCATTTTTTTCACAGGAAAAATTAGGTGCCTGAATGATATTTGACAAGACTATTTCATGAGTAACTGTTATTCTGCATACACATAGCTTACAAAACATACTACCTATTATGCATGCATACATAATAAATATGTAGGTATTAATTTGAAAACTGAAAAATAGGTAATTTATTAAATCACAAAATACTACTAACTTAATTATTTATGGTACATATAAATTGGAATTTTTTGTAACAACAGCTGTCAAGTTTTGCCGCGGGTAAACTCGAAAAAACTGCTGACAGGAGCTGTCAAAACAATTTTTCCACCTAGAAACCATTTTTAATTCAAAATTGCGCGTTTGTGATTGGTGGAAATTAAGACGAGGGAAATAGTAGTAAGTAATATCATAAGGGCATTTAATTTTTCCGAAAAGAATCGAAAAAACACGTTGCTAAGTAATATTTTAACAAAAAGCATGAGTGCTGGTGGCAACAAAAATCCGAGTCGAAGAGGAGGATTTTTGCACCTGCATGAATGCATTTTGTTAAAAAATATTACTTAGCATTGTGTTTTTTCGATTTTTTTCACAGGAAAAATTAGATGCCCGAATGGTATTTGACAAGACTATTTCATGAGTAACAGTTAACAATTAAAATATAAATTGCAATTTTTGGTGACAACAGCTGTCAAGTTTTGCCGCGGGTAAACTCGAATAAACTGCTGACAGGTGCTGTCACACAGTTTTTTCACCTAGAAACCATTTGTAATTCAAAATTGCGCGTTTGTGATTGTTGGAAATTAAGACGAGGGAAATAGTCAATAATAAATATTACTGTCAGTGACAGTGTCAGAGTATTTAATTAAGGTCTTCAGCAGAAGTATTATTTTTAAATAATAAAAATACTAAATCAAACTGGCATAAGCTACCAACTTAATAAAAATTATTAACTCTTCTTTCAAATTATTTCCAAAACTAAACATTTTTTAATAAATTTGTATTTCATTATTAGTAATTATTGGTCCTGTGCAAAGTTTTTTTACCACTATTTTCGTTTTCTGTAATACACAATTTGTGTTTAGTGGCAGAAAAAACTTTACATAGGGTGATTCTATACTGGGACACAATACCTTACAAATGCCTACTAATTACTCACCAAAAACAAATTCCTAGAATCTCCGCTTCATAAGGCTAAAATTACACACTATCACTGCATTCAGATAACAATAATTACAAGAAACTATATTACACATAACCCCAATGTAGATAAGATTAACAAAAGTAAAAGAAAAGTAGAAGAAAAAAATCACCGATAATACAATATCAAAAAATTAAAAATTGTACAATATATTAAGCGCTACGAGTGTATTTGATTGTGTTTGAAGGTAAGGGGGTCATAAGATACAAAATAAAACTGCGAAAAAGCCACGACGACTACGCGATCAGCAGCCAGAAAATGAACGAGATCGCGAGCCACAGGAAGATGTGCGAGAGGATGCGCTCCTCGGAATGCTGCTGCGTGCCTGGCGGCGCCGGACTCGGACGAGCGTCGCCGATGTTGAACGACGATGCGAAAAAGCCGAACGGAAACGCGCCGATCCCGAATGACATGTGGAAACCATTGTCGCCGAAACCAAACCCTAAAACAAGATGTTCTCATTTTAAAAAATATTTAAAAAATCAATGCTTTCATGTCGTTTTTAAATTGTCTACGATAAACATGGTAATCATAAAAAATACAAATATTTGATCATTGTTTTTACTACCAATGAATGCATGCTACAGTAACTAGTTACAGATACAGTTAAGTTGAACAAGTATATAGATACTTTTAGATACAAATTATTTTTTGCTTTCTTACATGGAGGAAATGAAAGAATAACCATTGATGCGTAATCCACTCAATAAACTATTGGAAATAATATTTTGAGCAGAATATTGCTCAATAAAACTTCTGGCACTACTTATTTATGTGACTATTTCCCTCGTCTTAATTTCCACCAATCACAAACGCGAATTACAAATGGTTTCTAGGTAAAAAAACTGTGTGACAGCACCTGTAAGCAGTTTTTTCAAGTTTACCCGCGGCAAAACTTGACAGCTGTTGTCACCAAAAATTGCAATTTATATTTTAATTGTTAACTGTTACTCATTAAATAGTCTTGTCAAATACCATTCGGGCATCTAATTTTTCCTGTGAAAAAAATCGAAAAAACACAATGCTAAGTAATATTTAAAAAAAAAAAGCATTCGTGCAGGTGCAAAAATCCTCCTCTTCGACTCGGATTTTTGTTTCCACCAGCACTCATGCTTTTTGTTAAAATATTACTTAGCAACGTGTTTTTTCGATTTTTTTCGGAAAAATTAAATGCCCTTATGATATTACTTACGACAAATAACCATTGCTGTTGTCAAGGTAATCCTTTATATGAATTGTGTGATTTTAAAAAGTACATTGACGTTGGCGTTGACATTATATATTGAGTGGATTAGTATGGTGCACATCAATTTATGTTTTATTTCCTCCGTGTAAGAAGCTTTTATGATTTAAGTTTCATCAAATTTTTAAAAATATAAATATAAGAGCGAGACGACAAACATAGATGTCATGCAACATGTTTAGTAGGTTTGGTAGATTTCTTCACTCAATAGTAGTAGATTCGTTAAAAAATCAATTCACACTGTTGTATGCGTTGAGAAATTGAAAATTTTGTGCGAGTTAGTTACTAGATTGCAATATATAACTAGTTACAAACGCAGATACATAAAAAGTATCTAGATAATGTAACTAGTTACTTTTAACTACATACGTTACAACACTGCCTAGGGCTTATAATAATAAAACAAGTTAAACCTCACAATTTTGATACTTTTTTTAAATTCTCAAATAAATATTTCAAATGGATTTTCTATCTATACTTTTAATTTGTTTGTCCTTTTTTATATGACTATTGGTCAAAGTGTCAGTTGAAACTTCTCTGAACAGCTATTCTAAATTTGTGGTTGAAATGTCAAATGTAAAATAATTTTTTCTAATTGAGGGTCCTATAATAAAACTGGTATAAGTGGTCTTTTGAGGAGATATTTGCATTTGCAAGTTAAAAAATTATTGTTAAGTAAACCAAAATGTATATTACAATTAATTTACCTTAAACTGTTTTATTAAACTTTTTAACTTTTAATCTCAGAATGATTAAAAGTGCACACCTTTTATTCTAAGACCCTCAATTATGTTATGGCTCAAATACAGTATAAAATATTAAAATAAATTACTCTCTTTAATCTTATTGGACATGGAAACAATATAAATAATTAAAATTATTAAAATTTATAAATGCACGAAAAACAAATCTCTGGCATTTCCCCAATTACAGTTAGATTAATACGAATTTTTGTTCATACAATAATTGCATGAACAAAATAGTATACAAAATATTATTTTAAAAGCTGGTTTTTAAATTAAACAATACTTTTCATACCAATTTTGTAATAAAAAGACTTAAGTCTATTCAAACCCAAGCTGGACTAAATGTAAACACAATCCTCCGAATCGACCAATACAAGCTCACAATTCGAGTGAAACCATCAGAATCGACCAATAGAAACGAGTTATCACGCGTCTGGGCGTTTTTGTTTAGTCCAGCTTGGATTTGAATACTTTAGGTACTTAGGGGACATCCATTAATTACGTGAGACAAAAATGGAGGGGGAGCAAAATCTCACCAAATCTCATTTTAAGGGAGGGGGTCATTTAAAATCTTACGTCAACTTTTGAGTTTAAAAAATATGTATTATAATTCAAATTTGTTAAAAAAATTAATCATTTTTTACATGTTGTCCACAAAGAAAGTTTAATAGCTAAAATCTCACGTTAGGGATAGGGGGGTCTACCACATCTTACCATATCTCACCAAGGGGGAGGGGGTACAAATTATCAGAAAAATGCCTCACGTAATTAATGGATGTCTCCTTATCATTAAAAATAAACACTTTTGAGCAACTATGTTCACCATATTTACTGTGAATAAAAAGTTGTCTAATTATATAATGATGTTTTTAAACCCAAAAAGAATTGTACATTATAAATGACAATAACAATATTTTTAACCAGTTTAGTTTTTTGTGCATATAGTGTAGCCTAAAACCTTACTCAGATCATTTCCTTTTAAAACATAGTTGAACTAAAAGTGGCTTATATTATTTTAAGAAATTAATACTCCAAATGCCAATTCTGTAATTGTAATTAACAAATTTACAGTGATTCAGATTGCTAGTTAAAAAAAACATATTCTGTCTTTTACAAACAAATATAAATTATCAAAAGTAGGTTTTTATTAAAAATGTCCCTGGAAATTTCTTTTGTATCTATAAATATAAGAATAAACGTATCTATGCAAATTAAATAGTATATTTTTATACGAGAGATAATGCAGGCTAATATTCACGAGGATGAGGTTTACGTCTCGAGTCGCTAGACGAGAGACCTAAATCATCCGATTGAATATTGCGCATAATCTCGAGTGTAATACTATACTTTATCTACTCCAAAAGTAGATAATTAAATGATTTTTAAAATTAAATAAATAAAATCTGACATTAACCTTACATTTTACCAATTTTAAATGTTATTATAGTCGCCTTCTTCCAATTTAAAACTCGATTGGTTCAAATCACAGTGAATACTGAAATCGGCCAATCACTAATGCCTAACACCGTGAATACTGAGTTTATTATTCACATTGTTAGGCAGGAAATTTATAATGCTTAGCAATATTCACGGAAAAACACCAAAATTATGCAATAGGAGTAGATAAAAATATATATATATATAAATATACATATATTTATATTTAATAAACAAAAATAATTCTAATAAAAATTAAATTTCTTACCTGGAAAACTGGATCCAGGTTCTGGTTCAGTTCTTTGACCGGCAGGTCTTGGTGGTACTGTTTCTCTGGGATCCTCAGTTTTTTTACTACCTCTACCATATAATGGAACAACTTTTTCCTTGCTTATAGCCGATTTACACACTGGACAAACTTGTCGATTTGGTCTGGTTTCAAGCCATTGGTGAAGGCAGGGCCAACTACAAAAATTAAATGTTTCAAAGGTTTTCTTCAAATTACTTTTACAGTATTGGTATGTACATTTACACAGATTTTTTTGGTGCTGAGAGTCTGAGACAGAAATCACTTATTTACTTACAAAAATTAAAATAATGTTCAAATAGCAAATTAGCACCAAAAATAATATTTTAATTGGCTATATTATTTTTGTTTTTCAAGGGATTTAAATAATTACTATGCATTTAATCAAGTATATATTAAATTTTGTAGCAGTTGAGTTTTTATGTATGTTCTATAAGTTAGTCCAAACGCTTTTGAAGGAAATATAAGTTTTAGTTTTTCGTTTAGCAATTTTTTTCAACATATTATGTTGAAAAAAATTGCTAAACGAAAAACTAAAACACAGTTTTGTATTATTTTTATGTTTTACATAAAATCATTCAAAATCCATATTCTAATGATTGTTTAAAACAAGAATAGCAGATCAATTAAAATTAAATAAATGATCACTAAACTACATTCAAAACCTCTAAATTAGTGGTTTCAATTAACGTAGATCCCCTGCATTTCAATGTTTTGTGCGACTAGAATTAATAAATAATAATTAATACATCGAGATTGATTTGTATGAAATGCTAAATTCATTTTATTATTTGACGTCTGCTGAGTTACCAATGCCAGGTCGCCACCTTTTGTCTTAAAAAATCGGGACAGACCTTGAACATTCTCCTTTTTCCTTGACTGTAAAATTAGATGTGCCTTAAATTAAAATAAATCTTGCAAATCGAAAATAGCATAAAAGAATTTTCTACTTAAAATCAAAAAAACTTTTTTCTACCTTCACCTTTAAAACGCCCTTTATCGTACATGTTTCCATGGCACTAAGTGACCTTTTAAATACACATTGACAAGTTGTGGCTTTATGGCGCTTTAGTCACGGGCTGAAGTTAGCAACCGGTTTTTAGTCATCTTGTAAAATAATACTAAATATAAAAATTATTTTATTATCTCAATACAAAAACACAAAAGTATTAAATAGTTAACGCCAATATTTGAAAAGTTTATATGAACATTTAAATTTTGCCGGCAGTAAACTATAACTTAAATTCGGGCACGGACTCATAAAACATTTTCTTTACTTTCACTGTAAAAAACTGTCAATTTTCAAGAAATACATTTCGATTTATAACCTTTATAAAATATAAAAATCTGATATTTGACGGTGACACACAGATTCCCCTATTGTTTCATAGATGGCGCTCTATACAAATTTTTGATTTAAATCATTTTAAGATAATAAGATAATAAATATTTTTCGTAGAAAAAGTATAGTATGCACATCGTTTATAAACTTTTCTATACACTCATTAATTAAAGCACTCGCTCGCAAGCTCGCTCGTGCCTAAATTAAATTCGTTTGGCGTTTATCAAACTTGATACATAATATACTATAATGTACATAATGTAATGTTTTCTTATAAAACATATTTGAAATCAAAGTAGTTAAGTACAAAGATATTTGCGAAAAAAAAGTTATTATAACTTATCTTTCAAGCAACTGGGCTAACATGCACCTTAACCAGTGGCGTATTTAGGGGGGGTCCGCCGGGTCCGGACCCCCCCCGGGCGCACATATTTTATTATTTTTATTACAAAAAAAAGTTAAAAAAAAATAAAAACCTACCAAGAGGACCTCACTTTGTGCAAAAACGATATATTATCAGAATATAAGTTATGGTGTCAAAATATATTCGGTTTGAAAGAAAAGCCACAAAATGCATTGGATGCTTTAAAACTATGCAACACAGAGTTTTATCCCAACATCTTCCGTTTGCTTCAAATTTTAGCCACTTTACCGGTATCGACAACAACACCAGAAAGAACATTTTCCAGTTTAAAGCGAATAAAAACGTATCTAAGGAATTCTATGTCTGAGGTAAAATCTTATTTTCATATAATAAATTACTATTTACTAACTTAGGTCTATCTTTTAAGGGTCGACTTAATGGTTTGACAGTTCTATCCAGTGATAATAATATAGAAATTAGCCCCGAAGAAGTTCTGGATGAAATGGCGAAGAATCCACGGCGATTGGAATTTTTAATTTAATCAAAACAAAAATGTTCCTTTTTTAGAAAGTTCCTTTTATTTTCTATTTTATCGGATCAGAAGAGTTCCTAATTTGTGATTTTTTCTATGAATTGATTCCTTCCAGAGTTATTCGAGGCCAAAGTTTGATTTCCATCGAATTTTCGCGTTTTTTTAACATTTATGGTACAATTATCATTATACGGGTGTCCCGAAATCAGGGGGCCAAACTTAAATAGTGCATTATTCGTATAAAAATAACACTTTTTTTGTTTAATAAACATGTATCAAAAAATGCTCCCTAAAGGAGCTACGGCCCCCTGAATAGGAGCCTAAGAGGATAATTTTTTTTAAACTATTCCTAGAGGGTTGAACATGAACAAATGAATTTTCGGTACCTACTTTGGTAATTTTGACATGCTGAATCTAGATCTATGATCAAAACTGTTAAAATTTAATCATAGGCGTAACATTTGGAGGGGGCAAAGTTACAAAAATAGCCCCAACTTTTTTCTGGGTTAATAATTTAATTTTTTTATGAAATTATGAGAATTTATAGTTTTTTACGAAAAATAGGTACTTTTGATTTGAATTGCTCAGATGCACCATTTTCGAGAAAAATGCATTTATAAATAAATTACTTTGCATATTATACACATCTCATATTTTCATTAAAACTTTGTAGTAGGCTTTGGAAAAAAGTGACGTTTTTTTGTTTTTTTGTTTTTTTTACAACACTTCCTATGTTTCAGATATAAATATGTGATTTTTTTACTACATGATGCTAAAAGTTGAAAAAACGAGAAAATTCGATGGAAATCAAACTTTGGCCTCGAATAACTCTGGAAGAAATCAATTTATAGAAAAATTATAAGAGACATTTTTTATAGAGCGTTAAATTTACTATAAAAATCTAAGATTTTCCTTGCCATAAGTTGATTTGATATAGACGTATAAAATTCCAAAGTTAAAAAAAAAAATTCCTATGTTATTTAAATGGGAAATAGAAAATTGCGATCCGCGACCTCTAAATCTTCAAATTAAAAGCTCAAATTTTAACGAGGTCTTTGTTTTGACATCCTCTGAAAGAATTTGCTGACCATTTGAAGAAAAAGAAAAAGTTGATTTTTTGAAACACCCTAGTATGTATGTATACCAAAAAAAATGTACAACAAAATAAAATAAAATTATCATTTTATAATTTAAGTAGGTACTTAATAAGTACTACTTATTTATACATAGTAAAAAAATTGGAGCTGAAAAAAAAATATGGACCAAAACCGTAACTAAACTTGAACCCAAATTTGTCGTTGGCAATCCTGCACCAATGGATTTACTTCAATCCGTGGGCTTTTTTAAGGTTTTGTTTTTCACCAATGAAAAAGACACACTTCAACTATCTCTATACATGCACATAAAGTTGCATTTTTTTTTTCAAGCGGTCTTGGTATTTTCTAAAATACATCTGTCAACCATGTCAACCTTAATTAAGTAATTGAAGTAAGGCAGCTAGCTGCCTACTTCCAGATATATCATTTGTAGGATAATTAAATTAAACTGTCCTAATTTAGGTGATTTAATTCATAATTGTTGGTGCCATAAAAATATTAAATATAAATTTTAACCGGCCTTTTAATTTGTGTTCTTTAATCGTCCTGATTCAACTATCTCTATACATGCACATAAAGTTGCATTTTTTTTTCAAGTGGTCTTGGTATTTTCTAAAATACATCTGTCAACCATGTCAACCTTAATTAAGTAATTGAAGTAAGGCAGCTAGCTGCCTACTTCCAGAAATATCATTTGTAGGATAATTAAATTATACTGTCCTAATTTAGGTGATTTAATTTATAATTGTTGGTGCCATAAAAATATTAAATATAAATTTTAACCGGCCTTTTAATTTGTGTTCTTTAATCGTCCTGATTCAGGACTCCTGAAGCGTAAGTTCGATCCCGACTGACGTCATAATTTGACGTCACACACTGTAAATCAGTATTATTTCCTGAGCAATAGAAAATTTATATTAAACTGGGTAGCTCAAATGGAACAGCGCCTGCTTTGCATGTGAGAGGTACTGGGTTGGATACTTACCGCCTCTACAACTTTTTTTTTATTTAATGAATTTACATAGCAAAATAATACAATGTGGCCTTAAAAGCATTAATATTTAATTTTACATTATTATTTTAAATTATTTACCCTACCTTATTATCGGTTTGCCACATTTATATAATATAATATCGACCCATGCAACGAAGACTATTGTAACTCAGTTTTGATTGTAGACTAGAGTAACTTAACTTAATATAGTTTTCGCCTGTAGGAATGTGGATTATTACACTTACTATACAGGGAAGTTGTTCACTGGTTGCCTATTGTAACTCAGTTTTGATTGTAGACTAGAGTAACTTAACTTAATATAGTTTTCGCCTGTAGGAATGTGGATTATTACACTTACTATACAGGGAAGTTGTTCACTGGTTGCCTATCATTTCATGTCTGAGTTACTGTAATCTTCCACCAAATAGAGCTTGAAAAAATCTGTTGATGCCATATAGTAAGTCAAAACACACGTTTTTTGAGTTACTATAGTCTTCGTTGCATGGGTCGATATGTAATTAAATAAATATTCCTTTGTTGAAAAGTGTTGGGTTTCTTGGTTGGTCTTAGTTTAATCGTAACAATGGGGTAGTTAAATTTTTTCTGACCTATACTTTTTATGGTTTTGTAATATTAAACATTTCTGTGAAATCAGAATTTCAATTGAGTTTACCGTTTTCGAGATATTTACAAAAAATATACATTTTTATGACGTCACAAACCTCGCCATGTGACCAACATTCTAAGATTTCTATTGGTTGAAAATTACCCTGTTGTCAAGTTGTCTTGTTAATGATTTCATTCGGTTATGTCAGAAAATACCCGAAGAGGTTATGTCCTAATACTGTCACTGTCAAGCCCGCTGCACAACAGCCCGGTAACGGGAACGGGAAAATAAACGGTAAAGGTGGGAGAGACTCAGCGAACCCTATCTATCAACAGTGGTTTTTTAGTCTCTCCCACCTTTATTGTTAGGATTCCCGTTCCCGTTACAGTGCTATTGTGCAGCGGGCTTTAGTTGAGTGAAAGAAGAAGAAGAGGAGGTTAAAGAAAATTCTGAAATTAAAAGTTTTATTGATAGGTTTACACATTGAAACACCGTGTGAAACCTAATAAAATGTAATAAATAGGTACCTAATAACTGTCTAAAGCAGAGTTTAATATATTTCATAGAAAAAAGTGGCAAAATAAAGCTGAAAATGAATGAAATAAATTTACAAAAAATAACAGTAAATGTAAGTTAACAATGGTATTTATGATATTTGTGTATAGTTTTTATAAAACTTGCATCCCTGATGATGAGCATCAAAACCTTACAACCAGTACAATAAATATATCTTCTGTGTAGAGAAACAGATGGTCACCAAATTTATTAAGTACCTATCTTCCTTATAATAAGGACCTTATTACGAGGTATCATATTACTGTTTGAGTCCAAGATATATCTAAAAGAATATAAAGAACTAGGCATTATACTAATGAAATGCATTTACGACAAAATATGATTATAATTATAGGTAGGTACTTACTTTATTTGTTTAAAAGCTCCAATGTTCAATGTAACCAACCATTCCACAAGATTCCTCTGCTTTGGAGTCCGTTATTAATAAATCACTTATCTAATATCAATTACAAATAACATAACAATAACATTGATTTTCAATAATCTAAATTTAAAAAAAAACATAACCCGAAAAAAAGAAACGTCAAAAAATCAATTCTTCTTCCTCTCAACTAAAATTTTAGATCAAGTAGTTTTAAAACTAAAATATTATAACGTGGCGCCATCTATCGTAAGAATCTTAAACTAAACACCATAGAAAAAGCTGGCAACGTTGTCAATAGCCTAGTGACGTAATTAGGAGACTTTTTTTTGTAAATATCTCGAAAACGGTAAACTCAATTGAAATTCCGATTTCACAAAGATGTTTAAAAATACAAAACGCCTTGAATAAAAGCATAAAAAGTATAGGTCAGAAAAAATTTAACTACCCCATTACATAAAATCGTAAAATTGACGTCAGTCGGGATCAACATTGGGAAACAGCGTTCTATAATTTCTAATATTTTAGTATTAAAGACACTGGGTAACAAGCTATAAATTCCTTTTATTATTTATAAATATAATGTCAACTAAAAAAAAATATGTTGTTTTGTAAACAAAACATTAACTTTGCTATCAGAAGTGTTATTATTTATCAGTAAAAATGAATAATTTTCATTTTAATGCAGTTGTAAGTAAAAAAATGCAAAAGCTATTTAATATTAATGCTAAATAAGTTTACAATGTATAATCGATCCATGATTTCTAAAAATAGAGGTGCCAGAACTGTATCCTTCCCCAGAATGTTGATAATTGGTTAGTAGTAGAGGTAGTAGTAGAGGTATCAGAACGCTGTTCTGACGCGTTCTGCCTCAAATCAAGCCCTGGGTATAATGTATTATAATTATTAATATTATACATAGCTTAAAATTTATTTTCAATTTCTAAATCCAAATTGCATCAAACCAATTTAATAAATAAAACTGCAATATTACTAAATATTAAAAGTAAAACTGACCCAATTAATTGAAACGCTCTTGAATATAAATTAGTGAAATACTTACCAAAATAAATGTCCACAAAGACTGACAACTGCATCTTTTGCAGTGTCTAGGCAAATGTTGCACTCAAACATGGAATCATTTTTCTCCTCTTTTTTATCGGATTCGTCTCCACCCTCTCCTATGGTTTCTTTCGGAATTTCTGTCGTACTTGAGGCCATTTTAGTGTAATTTTAATGTAATTCACTTACAATTTAAATTTTATTCTTTTCCAATATCGTGATATTAAACGTCATTCAATGACAACATGCTACGAACTTACGTGTCCTTATAATTAATTAATCAATGTTTTCGATGGAACTATTTATTCTCCTAATTTTAACAATTATGATGAGAAAACATAATAATAGTCACTTTATGCGTTAATTCGCGATATTCTAAAATCAGGTGACAGATTGCCACAAATGACAACTGCACAGTACTACCAAATGCAAAATGTAAATATTTTGTAAATATGTGTCAAGCATGGGCGGAGGTAAAAACTGGAAAAAGGTAAAATAAAAGTCGTTTTTTGCGCAAATTTGGTTAAATAATTTATGATATAGGATTAAATAAGTTACGACGTCACAGTTAATTCCATTAACCATGCTTTTTAACTTTTAACATTTGTTTACTTGTTTAAAACCATATTATGGACGTAAGTATGTTTACTATGAGGCGCCGTTTGCGTCAAAATAAAAGTGTGAAAAATAAATATACTGATAAAGCATTACACGGATTTTATAACCAATTTTTATAAAGGGTTATAAAGGCTTTGTTATCTATGGTTATAACCAATTTTTATAAAGGGTTATAATCATAGAAATAATATTATTTCTATGGTTATAATCATGGAGCCTACACATGGAGCCTACACAAGGAGCCCGAACGCAGATATTTTTTCCTTAACCAACGTCCCGAGTCCGCCCGCTTGCCGAGTCCCGCTGCTTTACCGAGTCATCTCGCGCTTGCGAACTCAGTGACTAACGTCTAGGTACAGAAAAATTGCGAAGCTTCGAAACCAACCCAAACCCAACAACCCAACCCAACAGAAAAATATATAGTAAAAAGAGAAAGACTATTAACCACGTTGAATAACTAGCTCAGCGATAAGTTTTATGGTCTGGTATAGAGGTGGGAAACTATCGATAAATTTTACTATCGATAGTTCGATACAACCTAAGCAAAAACTATCGATACTATCGAAAAAAAAAATTCTGCATCAAAATTAGGGACCATTTATTTAAAAAGTAATTTATTAGCGCCCATAAAAATTTAAATATTTACATTATTTGACTTAATTCGTGACTTAATAAAAAACGGTACAAATTCAGTGACATAACCATGGAGCCCACACAAGGAGCCCAAACTTAATAGGGGAAATTGGCCAAACCTGCCCTGTAAATCGCAAAAATTAAGTCTTTTTTATTTTTTCACTACCAGCGGCGCTATGCGCATTGACGACTTCTGTTTGGTAGCGTTTCGGTACAAATCAAAAAATCACACCAGCGCCCTCTTATCTTAGGAATATTTTTGTATACATGAAGTTCGGACTCCTTGTGTAGGCTTCATGGACATAACCTTCCTCTCAAATTTTGACAAATGACATGCATATAACCATTGACTTACGTCCACCCAACCAATCCCTTATCTATGCTTACGTCTATATATATAACACAGAGAAATGATCACAGCTCTTGCATAGAAATAATAGTAGTATTATTTCTATGAGCTGTTGTCTAGAGAATTGTCTGTCAATCCAGTGTTGCCAACCTGGATTTTTGTCGGGAAATCTATGAAATTTCGTCTAAAGATTTAACAAAAACTATCGATAGTATTTATAAAACTATCGATAATGCGATAGTATGGCTTTCGTTCGAAAACTATCGATACATCGATATTTGCATTCGATAGTTTCCCACCTCTAGTCTGGTATTTGTGACGTCATAGTTAGGATTTTTGAACGCACTCTAAACGCAAAAATACCTTAACTATTAACCAAGGTTAAGTTTAATAACCATAGTATTTCATGGTATTTACGTGAAAAAACTCATTCACATCCACTTAATACGCGTAACTTAACTTAACGTACGAGAGAGACGTAAGTTAAAATACATTGAAACCAATGCAGATGTTTACATTCGTAGAAAACTTATCACACGTAACTTAACGTATCCAAAAGTTGGGTCCGGCTCAATACGTTTCTTACGTGAGCCAATCACATGCCCAGTAAAACGATATAGCGCTATCTTGTTGTTTCACTTTTATAGATAGAGCCAATCACATGCCCAGTAAAACGATATAGCGCTATCTTGTTGTTTCACTTTTATAGATAGATAGGCAACCCAGTCTACATCGATGTCTACATTGCACGTGCTTGTATATTACGTTTTTTGCGTGTATTAAGTTAATGTAAACAGACAACTTAAGAGACGTAGGTTTCTTAAGTTAAGTTAAGTTAAGTTACGCCTATTAAGTGGATGTGAATGAGCTTTAAGTGTTTACAGTGCTGTGTGTTTAGTGTAGGGTTGGGATTTTGACTGGTCAAAATCTTTTGAGGTCAATTGACCAGTGGTTCTAAAGGGCACAAGGGCACGTGTTGCATTGTGCATTATTTTAGTTTTACGTAACACCATTGTAATTACTATTTAAGGATGGTCCTTCCGTCTGCTCAAACGGTTGGATTTAAAACTTCTTTACGCAACGCTGCAGCGAGCAAAACGCTGTGCCGGCCAGATTGCGAATCTGGCAACACTGTGCCGGGGCACAACTTTAAATGTACTCATTCCAAGCATTATTCGGTGATCTTTGGTTATCCTCGCAGTACGTGAATATATCGTCAATTTGGGGCACCGAGCTCTTGAAGCCAGTTTGCAGAGAGCTTTTGTCTTTGTCGGTTGGTTTGATTTCCAACTTTTTTGTCGCCGCGCGCTGTTGTGTTTTTTTGAGTTGTGAATTACGTGTTTTGTTTTTTAAATAAACTTTATTTTTTATTAACAATAATGGAACCAGCGGAAGTAAATTGTGCGCAAAATCTTTTAAAAAGCCCGATGTCACATGAAGATAAACTTTTAATTAAGGAAAAAGGAAGACCTATTCCCGATCTTCGAATAAACTACACTTCCACAGGTAAAGGCCGAACTTACCAAGATACATACACCTTACAGTATTCAACAGAAATATATATTATAAATACGAGTGGATATGCGGTTGTTCAGTAATAAATAAGATTTTTTGTTTTATGTGCTTAATTTTCTAAAAAGATATTAGTGCGTGGACTCAACATGGGTTAGATGATTTAAAACACATCGCAGAGAGGGCTAAGAAACACTAAAGTTTCTCACATGAATGCATGCATGGATTTTAGTGTCATAGGCAAAGTAGACATACGTGATCAGTTAGACAGTCTTTTCTCGCATGAAAAATAGGCGAATGGACTTTATGTATAAAAATTAGTAGGTAAGTTTTTTGTGCCCACCCTCTTTCAAAACCTCGTATACGAGCCGCCACTCCAATTGACTAGTCAATTGACCGGTCAATTGACTAAGCACCGGTCAAATTCCTTAGTTTTTTCTAAAGAAATGATGGCATGAGTAAAATTACTTAAGTTTAAATAGAAACGTATATTTATTGAAAAACAACAAAAAATAAAGAAACCATTCTGAGGTACAAAAAAAAAACATTAATATATAATATCATTGTTTTTAAAAACATTCACGTCTAGCTCGCAGCAGAGCAGCAACAGCAGCCCAGCAGATAAGACCTGAAGATGGTACATGAGATTCTTTTAAGAACCAAAAACCGACAACACGGTTCTAGCATGTGTAGATAACGGCACATCATCCTCTTCACTGAACCCACCCTCGCCATTGTCTTTACTCTCTTAAAATTAATTAGTCAAAAATGACCCAGAATACTATTTAAAAAGCATTATTATGATTGCACCATGGTCCACTACCAAACATTTTTTTAATACTTTTGATATTTTCCGCTAGATAGCGCCGCCGCCCCGCGCGGTTTTTGACCGATTTTGACATGGTCAAAATGTCTCCTGTCAAAATAGGTAAAAATCTCGGCCAATTGACCAGGCACAACCCTAGTTTAGTTTTTCCACAGAACAGGTGTTTTTAACTTTTTTATTGTTATTTCATTAGTTGTTAAGAAAAAAACAGTTCTATTCAGAAGTAAAAAACATAACCTAAAATGCCAGGCCAGGTTTTAAATTTGCAATCTAGGGAAATGGTTTTATTATTACGCTATTTTAATCCTGAAAAGAAAAATTGAGGTCCTTTAATTCCTTTGAAAACAGTTACTAAGGTAATTTACACAAGAATTTTGAGAATATTATTTTGCCTTGCAACCAGAGTACACCAATGATTTCTGTGTTGCATACCCATACTTCATTGCATCATTGTTGCCTCTTTTAGAATGGGGGGAGAGAAATATTAAAAACAAATATTTTACTTCACGTTTAGTCAAATTAGACTTTTAGCTTCAGCATATTTTGGCAAAGCATATAGTTTGAATTGAGGACCTGATAACCATGAAGCTGCGCCAGCGTTGCCAGGTCGGACAGGTGTGAATGAGTCTTTACCTAAGACAAAGGTCTAAGGTCTTTACAAATACATTTTTTTAAATAATTTATGCCTTGTATGAGGGGGAAAACATTGGTTTTACGGGTTTCGACTGGCTTCTGTAGATTGCTTTCTGTAAGAGAGTGTGGTTAGGAATAATGAGTATTTTTCTTAATTTTTTTTATTATTATTGTTTGGGATTTATTTTCTCTTTTTAAACATATAGTTTTACATTTCAGGCTTAGGGCCTGGCTGATTACATCGGTGAAAATATAATTGAGGAAATGCAGGTTAATAAATACAAGTTTTAACAAATTGGCTGAAGGCCTGTTATTGGGCAAACAGTAAAGTTTAAACAATTAAAAGTAAAATAAAAAAATAATGATACCTATTTATATTCACTAGGTTGGGGTGAATTATCATGTAGAATGACTAGAAAGAAAGAAAGCAAAAAGGAGCTCCTAGGTGCCTGAAATATTTAGCTCTAACCTGGATCCAAGTTAAGGAAGCCCTGGATCCCCTGGTTTCTGGCTAGTACCCTGCTTAAAATACCCCATGATTTGATTGATTTGAAGGGGAGCCTTTGCAGGCAGCACTTAGGCACACATACGGCCCATTGTGCAAACCCCCTTTTGGTGAAGCTCTGCCTTACCTTACGAGCCCGCAGCTTTTAAGAAAAGCGCAGACCCGCTCTGGTCGGGCTTGCATTATTTCCTCTGGTTCCAAGTATCTGTCCCCTAGGTGTCTTAGTCTACAGTCAGACTCGTTGCTGAGTACCGGCCGGTATTGTGTAGGTGGTATTTGACTACCCAGTGTCCTGTTAGGACTCCTGTGATGGTTCTTAACTGGTTCCTGTT